TGATCCTCAGCACAGCGTTGGGGGCTGGCATCACTGAAGTGGCTCTGCAGATGGTAATCCCTTCCCTAAAGGTGTTATTGCTGTAGGGGTTAGAGGCAGCTCTGGGCAGTCACAGCACAAAGCGTCACCCAGCACAGATGCCCCATCAGCAGGAGCCAGTCACCAAGCCACTGCTGACACCCCACCCACCCTGATGGCTTTACCAACTCTACACACCAACCCACTAGCCTCAGTGGGGTTTGCCCTAAGTGCTGGCCCTTGGGACCATCAGGGCTTGTTATGTGCTGAAGCCTCACACATGCCTAGGAGTGGCCCCAGATTTACTTTATGCTCCAGAGCTGCCCACAGGACCAGGCCGAGGTTGGGCTCACCCTGCAGTCGCACCCTCACTGGACTTCTCTCACTCCCCATCCTGCTCCCTACTCCCTCCTGCTTTTTCCTCAAGGACAAGTCCTGAATCATCCCTTGGATATGAATCCTGTCCCAAAGTCTGCCCCTAGAGACCCCTAGCTAAGCAATTGGTATCATTCACCTGGAAGCAGTTCTCAAACCCTGGTCTGAGACAGGCTCGTTATAAATGCAGATTCCTACTTTTAGGAGGCTGAGGTGGGTGGATCACTTGAAGACCAGCCTGATCAACATGGTGAAACCCTGTCTCTACTAAAAATACAAAAAAAAAAAAAAAAAAGAAATTAGCTGGGGGTGGTGGTGGGTGGTAGGTGGTGTGTGCCTATAGTCTCAGCTACTCGGGAGACTGAGGCAGGAAAATCGCCTGAACTCGGGAGGCAGAGGTTGCAGTGAGCCAAGATCATGCCACTGCACTCCAGTGTGGGCAACAGAGTGAGACTCCCACTCAAAAAAATATATAGATTCCTATGTCCCACCCTAAAGCCACTGAGTCAGGATCTCCTAGGTAGACCCCAGGAGTCTGTATATATCTATTTTTTTGAAATGGAGTTTCGCTCTTGTTACCCAGGCTGGAGTGCAATGGCGTGATCTCGGCTCACCACAACCTCCGCCTCCTGGGTTCGGGCAATTCTCCTGCCTCAGCCTCCTGAGTAGCTGGGATTACAGGCACCCACCACCATGCCCAGCTAATTTTTTGTATTTTTAGTAGAGATGGGGTTTCACCATGTTGACCAAGATGGTCTCGATCTGTTGACCTCGTGATCCACCCGCCTCAGCCTCCCAAAGTGCTGGGATTACAGGCTTGAGCCACTGCACCCGGCCAGGAGTCTGTATGTTGAACCAGCTCTTTGGTGACTGTCGGAGCCAGCCCCATCTGGAAACCCTCTCTAGAGTCCTCACACCAGTCTACATAGGCTTTGCATTAGGTTTGGGGTGAGCATCTCAAAGCAGAGCCTGTCCCCTTTTTTACTTCTGGGGACAGAGGCTGCCAACAGAACACAGCTGTGCTTCCTGAGTGCTGGATTGGGAGGGACAGGGGTGTCCTGCTCTGGAGAATTTTCACTGTGCAGCTTGGCCCTCTGGGGCCTGCCATGGTGTCCCAGGGAATGAACTCCAGGAACAGGCTCCCAGCCCAGCCACAGGCCCCCAGTGCTCACTGACCAGAGGCTCTGGGAACGGAAAGGGGCCTGGTGGGCTTGCTCAGGGCCAGGCCGGTGGTTCGGCATAGCCTAACTAAACACCAGGACTGACAAGCATCCACTGAAACACCGCTCTGTGTCATGTTCTGGAGGTGACACAAGGCACATGACATGCCTCTGGGATGTCACCCACTGTGCCTCCAGCCGTTTGGCTCTGGAGGAGTCTGTAGGGCAGGACTTAGAATTGCACAACCACAGAGCTCTAGAACTTGAGTGTTCCATCTTGGCTAACATCCCCTTGATGAGGGAGGCAACCAGGGCCAGGAGGGGTCAGGTGACTTACACAGGGTCAGAGGCTACTAGGTGATGGCTCTCCAACTCCCAGCCCCGGGCTCTCCCTCCCACAGTATCTCACTTCTGAGCTGCTCACAAACTCAGGCCTTGGAGCTGACACCCCCCAAAATATGGTAATGCCAGGCTCTGTGCCCTGTGGCCTCCTTGAGAGTACCCTGGGAGTTTGAGGGTAGGCCCAGGGGCACCTTCTTTTCTGGAACATGGAGGAAAGGTTGAGAGGTGACAGCAGTAAGCTTGGTGACTGTGGCTCCAGAGCTCCCTGGACACAGACGAAGTCTCTGCTCCAGAAAACCCCTATGGCCCAGTTCGTGGAAATAGAACAAGCACACTGACTGGGTGTGGGGCAGGGTGCTGTTTCTTTTTGAAACAGAGTCCTGCTTTGTCACTCAGGCTGGAGTGCAGTGGTGCAATCTCGACTCACTGCAATCTCTGACTCCTGGGTTCAAGTCATTCTCCTGCCTTAGCCTCCTGAGTAGCTGGGATTACAGGCACCTGGTTAATTTTTCTATTTTTAGTAGAGATGGCATTTCACCATGTTGTCTAGGCTGGTCTTGAGAACTCCTGACCTCAAATGATCCTCCCTTCTCGGCCTCCCAAAGTGCTAGGATTACAGGTGTGACCCTCTGCCCCAGGTCAGTGCTGTCTCTTTACCTGTGTTACCTTATTCCCTCCTCCAGCACCAATATTACAATATTATAATTCCAATTTGGCAGAAGAGGAGGTTGAGGCTCAGAGAGATTGAATAACAAGTTCAAGTTCTGGGCTTTGCCATTATATCATCATTCATTCATTCACAGCACATAGCATGTGCGAAACATGGCTGGGCTTCTTCCACTATGGTTTAAGAACTTGGAACCAGCCTCTCTGAGAGCCGAATGTGTCATAACGTGCCAAGGGCCAGGAGGCTTCTGATGTTTTGCCTTGTGGGCCTACAGGGACCTGCCAGGTCATCAGAATTATTGCAGGATGCACACAGTGAGGCCTCTGTAGCACAGAGTGTGCACTTTGGAGATGTATCTCCTTTGAACCCCTGCGCTGCCGCCATTTACTAGCTGGGCAAGTGACTTCTCTCAGTCTCAGTTTCCTCATCCATAACTTGGGGATAATGAGAGCATTTACCTCCTGAAACTGTTTACAAGATTTCAAAAGAGGATGGCCATAAAAGCCCTTAGCACAGCACCAGGTACCCAGTGTGCTCTTAGAGGTGGCAGCTGTTAGCAGCAACTATTACCGAGACAGGAAAATAGGGTCTGGAGGCAGGGGACGTAAGGCCAGTTCGCACTTCAGCTGTGACAGGAAATATCCTCTCTACAGGGCGTAGGTCAAATAAATGACTTTGCAACTTTACTTCATCCTCTTCATTTACATAAGGTGTACCCCAAGTAACCAGTGGAATCCGTTCGAGGGTATTTAAGTTCCCCCAAATTCTGCAACAGTGCCCTTGAGCCGCTATGCTTGGGCCTGCTCCCACACTGTGGATGCACTTTCATTTTCAATAAAACCATTTCTCCCTTGTTTTGTGTGTTTTGTCCAGTTCTTTGTTCAAGATGCCAAAAACTTGGACACCCTCCACCGGTGACATATGTTGGCAAGCCAGCCAGGGGGAAGAGGTAAGCGCAAAGTTTGGGATTTCTTTTTCTCCTTTCTCCTTTTCTTTTCTGTTCCATATAGGAGAATCAATCTCTCTCTCTCTCTCTCTTTTTTCCTTTCCAACTCAGGACCCTCGGTGGGCAGCGCCTACGTACAGAAGCAACTGCAGGTTTCTGGCGATGGCCAGTGAAGCTAAGGGGTTTCCAGAGGAGAAGCCTAACTGCCCCCGCCCAGTTCACTTAAGGGACCAGGGTCTTTTTCATTTTTCTCCCCCTCTCTTTTTCAGCCTTTCAGTAGCTGTTTCCCAGTATCTCCTTAGTAATTGAGGGTAATTCACTGGGGTCACTCACCAGTATTGCCTGAAGGCCCAGGAATGAAAGGAATAATTGCCCTGTCCAGAATGGGGAAGGATTCTTTTTTGTTTTTTTAAATCTTTTCTGAGTGTGATCCCTGATCCCTGATCCCATGGGTGGCAGCTCAGAGCAAATTTGCATATTTCAGGACTTAAACCATCTTTTCTTATGCTAAATTCTTCCCTTCTCCTGTTCCACTGGCTAAGGGCAAAAGAAACCCACCCAGCCTCCAGTTCCTATCATTAAAGTTCATGGAATGGGAAGCCTGAGAAAGCATGTCCTTATCAAATCAGAAGGATGCTAAAAGTCGGGGATTACACCCAGGTACCAAAGTAAAGCTCACAGCAGGCTCTCGAAGTGGCGCCAGTGCCCACCTAAGGCCAGAGGCATCTGACACTTAGAGAGTAGTGTCTGCCGGGCGCGGTGGCTCAAGCCTGTAATCCCAGCACTTTGGGAGGCTGAGGCAGGTGGATCACGAGGTGAGGAGATCGAGACCATCCTGGTCGACATGGTGAAACCCCGTCTCTACTAAGGATGCAAAAAATTAGCTGGGCATGGTGGCGCGTGCCTGTAGTCCCAGCTACTCGGGAGGCTGAGGCAGGAGAATTGCCTGGACCCAGGAGGCGGAGGTTGCAGTGAGCCAAGATCTCGCCATTGCACTCCAGCCTGGGTAACAAGAGCGAAACTCCGTCTCAAAAAAAAAAAAAAAAAAAAAAAAAAAGTGTGTCACCCCCCCACAGGAGGATGCCCTGGGGAATCCTATAGACCTCAGCTTCCCCAAAAGGAAGAGGTTCTGAGGTCTAGTACTAATCTCTCCTTAGAATTTTCTCTCGCAGTTGCAATGCTGCTTGGCCCCCAAATTGTTTAGAATCTGGAGTTTACTGTCTACTGGGAACATGGGATAGCGTTGCATGGATCCCACTTGTGCTGCTGTTGTTAAGAACAAACAGCTCCTCTTCAAAGGGTTTTGGTTCTTGGTTCTTTGTTCTAAGAGGTCATCTTATCCATTCATCTATTAGCCCTCCCTATCTCTGCTGTGCCTAAACACACCCAAGATGTACTGTCCTGTCCTCTTCCTTTGAAGACGTCAACAGCAGCCAATCGGAATTAGCCTAGATTGTGCGGTCCGACCCCAGCCCACGGGGGAGGGCCCAGGAACAGCAGTGCGTGGGGATAAAACCCCGCTCTGGTTGTTTTGGCGGCTGTTCTCTGTTTTGGCACGCCCTCCTCTGTTTTGGCATGCCCTTCTTTGTTTTGTCGCGCTCTCCCTTGCCTCTGCTTCGCATGCAGGAAGCGCCCTTCTATAGAAGTAAATTGCCTCGCTGGGAAAACTTTTGCCTGAGTGCTGGTTTCACTTTGTGGCACCAACAGTTTGTTTCTAACAATCTGGGGGCTTGCCTGGGATTCCCATTCTCCTCTGGGGAAGGGGTCTCTGGTTATCTCCTGGCATAGACTTGTCCCACTGCCTCGTTGTGGTGGCCTCAGGGGGTAGAGATCAAGACCCCACTTGCTGTGACGAATAAACGTGGACTCTTAGCAACGTGAGAAGCAAAGGCTTGCCTACGAACACCGCGGTGACCAGAAAACTGCACAGTCCAAGGTAAGAAACGCCATGGGAGTGGTCAAGTATTTCCTCTGTTGACCTGCCTCTCCCCACATGGAAGGTGTGTGTGAATGATCGCCAGCACTATTGCTTGCAGTGCTGCTTGTGTGACTGGTGATAAGCACTACTGCTGTGTGGAGTGAGTGGGTCCTATCTGCGGCTCCATGCTCACCTCATATGCCATCCATGGGGCTATACTGGCACACCAACGCTAAGAAGGACTTAATTTCCCATGAGGGAAGCAGCCAGATAGGATGAAGCAAACGGAAATGAGGGCAAGGAACCTCCAATTGGGTGGAGGGAGGCTGAGTCTCTAGAGAAAAGGGAAGGCAAGAGACCTCTCCTGAGAGAGGCTGAGCCACACATACACTCGAGGGAGCGTCCAAAAACTCCAAGATGGGAAACACTCCCAGTTAAACAGGGAAGTATGGGCATAGGAGGATCCCCTCTGATAGTCCTTTAGGTCTCATGCTAAAATACTGAAAAGAAAATGAGAGGACTAGGTGCAAGAAAAAGCAACAGATGACAAAATACTGTTGTTGCATTTGGACCAAGGAACCCATCCTCAAACCTGACATCTTCTGGCCAAAATTTGGATCAGATGAGGATTGGGTTTGTCAACTTTTAATTTAGTCTGTGAATGTCAAAAGTTTGGTCTCACAGGAAGAAATAGACTATGCTTTCTGCTGGAGAAAAGGACCTGTTGTTCCCCTCTTTCCCCTAAAGAATGCAGGCGAAGGATTAGACGTCACACTCCCCAAAGCAGGCATAGTAAAACCAACCCCTAGGCAGAAGGATCCCATGCCTGGGACCCTCTAAGCCACCTTCCTCCATTTAATCCCCCCCCCCATTGACCTGCCCCCTCCCCAGGCATCTGTTGCCATCCTGGACCCAGTCCTAGATCCTTCTCCTACTCCTATTATTCCTCCCCCTTATAACCTGACTCTTGGGAATTACTGCCACCCCATGAGTCTGCTCCTTGTCAGCCTAAGTATCCTTCCCTCAAGGGACTACACCGGGAAGTAGAGCAATGTAAAAAAGACTTTTGAAATCTTCCTTTCCCCTCTGCCTCTAAGGAATTAGCTCCAACTCTCTTCTCTTTGAGAGAGGTGCCCCAGGGAGAAGGAGCTGTTGGCTTTGTCAAATGCTTCTTTGACTAGTTCAGAGGTTTGAGGTTTAAAGAAAGAGCTTAAGCCCCTGCTAGATGACCCATAAGGGGTAGCAATCCAAACTCATCAATTCCTAGGCTCCCAGTTATATATGCTTGGGCTGAATTAATGTCCATCCTGGGTATCCTCTTCTCAGGGGAACAAAGGGGAATAATTTGCAGGACCGCTATGACAATTTGGGAACGCGAATACCCTCCCGGCCAAAATGTTCCCACAGCAGACCTGCATTCCTGGCCCCAGATCCTCAATGGGATAATAACACAGTCCACTGGGAAAATGTGAAAGATCTCAGGGAAATGATAATTAAAGGAATTCGGGAATCAGTGCCCTGCCCTCAGAATCTTTCCCGAGCATTTGACATGCAACAGGAAAAAGATGATGGCCCCATGAAATTTCTAGAAAGACTAAAGGAACAAATGAGGAAATATGCAGATTTAGATCCAGAAGACCTTCTTGAGCAAGGAATGCTAAAGCTACATTTTGTCACAAATAGCTGGCCAGACGTTGCAAAGAAGTTGCAGAAACTAGAAAACTAGAAAAACCGGTCCATAGAGGAACTCCTAGGGGAAGCCCAAAAAGTTTATGTGAGGAGAGATGAAGAGAAGCAAAAACAAAAAACGAAACTTAACGCTATCCACCTCCCAACAGATGGCTTCAAGCCCGTACGCTTCTAAACAGAGACTCCGGCGGGCCAGGAATTATAAAGGGTCCAAACCTCTGTTTGGAGGACCCAGATCCTCAGCTACCAGGTGCTCTAAAGCATATGGGGGAGCAAGGTCAAAGAATCCTAGAACTGAGGGAGAGGAAGGATGGGGTAAGGGCTCCAAATGCGGAAGAGCAGCCCACTTCGAAAGAGAATGTCTTGAGTGAGGAAAGGAAAAAGAAACTGATGGCATTCAAGGAGGAACAGGGAGTCAGGGGCTCTGTCTTTTCTCTAAAGACCCACCAAGAGCCCTTGATAGACTTAGAGGTGGGACCCAAACATGAGCTTACCACCTTTTTAATAGATGCTGGGGCTGCTCACTCCTCTGTTTGCTATCCGCCCTCTAGTATAAACTCATTAGAGGAACTTCTTGCCTCAGGGGTGAAAGGGGAAGGATTTAAAGCCAAAATTGTAGAAGAAATAGAAGTTAAATACAAAAATCGATCAGCTAGTATTAAATCCCTGCTAATCCCTGAAGCAGGACAGACCTGTTAGGAAGAGACCTGACGTTAAAACTAGGAATAGGCCTGCATGCCTGGCCTGAAGGATGTTTCACTTCATTGAACCTGCTCACCACCCCGGGAGAAAGTTACATTCACCCCAGTGTGTGGTCAAAAGAAGGGTACCAAGGGAAACTATGAATACCCCCAATTCATATAAAGTTGAAAACCCCTAGGGAAATAGTAAGGAGAAGGAAATGTCCAATTCCTCTAGAAGGCAGGATAGGCTTCAAAACTGTAATTGAAGGTCTTATTCAGGGTAAGTTATTGAGCCCTGTATGTCTCCATAAAATATCCCTATACTACCTCTAAAGAAATCAGATGGGTCATATGGGCTAGTACAAGACCTCCAGGCCATTAACCAAATAGTCCAAGCTACTCACCCTGCTGTCCCCAATCCTTACACTATCCTCAGCAAGATTCCACATGACCATCAGTGGTTTTACAGTAATAGATTTAAAGGATGCCCAAAGACAGCTGAGACATACATGCTTTTGAATGGGAAGATTCTCATTCAGGGTGAAAGCAACAATACTGCTGGATGGTCTTGCCCCAGGGATTTACAGACTCTCCTACCCTGTTTGGCCAAATTCTTGAACAAGTCTTAGGGCAGATATCCATCCCAGAGTAAGAAAACTAATAAGCAGACCCTAAGAAAACAAGCTTTTAGGGGCAGAAGCCCAGGATTAAGGCCATTTCAAAGCATTCAAGTTGACTATGCTGAAATGCCCCCACTAGGTCACCTTAAATACCTATTAGTAATAGTAGACCACCTCACTCATTGGGTTGAAACCATTCCCCTTCTCAGCTCAGCAGCTAATACTGTGGTCAGATTATTACTAGAGAACACGATTCTTCCATTCAGCCTAGTAGAAGACACTGATTCAGACAGTGGGACCCATTTTTTTTTTACTGCAAATAACATTAAAGGGCTTACTCAAGCTTTAGGAATCAAATGGGAGTATTATAACTCCTGGCATCTGTCCTCGCCAGGAAGAGTAGAAAGGATGAATCAGACTTTAAAGACTCTTCTAACTAAGTTAATTTTAGAAACTTGATTACCCTGGACTAAGTGTCTCCCCATCACTCTACTCAGGATCCGAACTGCCACTCGAATTATGGGTCACCATAGTTAAGTTCCATTAGCGATATTCCCACTTTTGAGACTAAAGATCAATTCCTTAGGAACTATATACTCGGTCTGTCTTGTACCTTATCTTCCCTTAGGATTAAAGGTCTCTTGATGCAAACCCCACCTCTTGAGTTTCCAGTCCATCAGCACCAGCCTGGAGACTACGTCCTCATTAAGAGCTGGAAAGAAGAGAAACTTGAACCTTCCTGGGAGGGACCATATCTCGTGCTCCTAACAACTGAAACTGCAGTCCAAACTGCTGAGAAAGGATGGACCCACCACACCCAAGTCAAGAAAGCACCAGCCCCTCTGGGGTCATGGGCCGTAGTCCCTGGAGAAAATCCTACCAAACTAAAGCTAAGAAAAGTTTAACTCTCTTTTCTCTATTCTATTACTCCTCCTTCTTTCCTTGTTCTGTTACTAGCTACCTCGTTATTAATGTAACTAGATCAGACTCACCCCAGACCATTACCTTTGATGCTTGTTTAGTTGTGCCTTGTGGGGATCTCGAAAGCCAGAGACAGCTTGCAGCAGCGGATAAATATCTCTGCCCCTCCACAGCAGATGCTTCTAGGTTCTTTATGTTACCATTATGTCATACTTGGGAATATGTCGTTTGGACCACTCAAAGTCAAGACTGGGTCCCCTCAAGTGATTTCCCACTAGCAGTTCTAAAGCCCTATATCCATTTTACTAAAGGAAGTGCCCCTCCCAATTGTCAATATAACCAATGTAACCCGGTGCAAATTTCCATCACTATCCCAACTCTCCAGGATTCCTCCCCAATCCTAAGCCGTTTATATGGTATGGGAGCAGATGTAAGCGGAAAAGACCCCATAGGAGGCTTCAGGTTGGACTTCATTGCACCCCCACCTTCAACATCTTCTCAGCCTGCTAAGACTGTCATCTCATCTCCACCTAATGACAAAACCAAAGTGGCTATTTTAGAGGTTAAAAATTTACAACAAACATTGGCAATTGAGACAGGATACCAGGATGTAAATGCCTGGATGGAATGGATTGAATATTCCGTTCAGACTCTAAACAAAAGCGACTGTTACGTTTGCGCGCGTGGTAGGCCAGAGGCCCAAATTGTCCCCTTTCCAGTTGGATGGTCTTCTGACCCAGTGGGCATGAGCTGTATGGTAGCTCTTTTCCAAGACCCCACAGCCTGGGGTAATGAATTCTGTCACGCTCTCTCTCTGCTGTTCCCTGAAGTTCAACACTCTGTGGGTCAGCTGCCGAGGGCCATCCAGCTTCCATCTCCGGACACCAATTTTACTTCATGTCTCTCACGACAGGGAGAAAATTTGGTGTTCTTTGGGGACCTAAAGGGATGCAGTGAGGTGAAGCCTTTCCAAGAGCTTACCAATCAGTCTCCCCTTGTTCATCCCCGAGCTGATGTATGGTGGTATTGCGGCGGACCCCTACTGGACACTCTGCCAAGTAACTGGAGTGGCACTTGTGCTCTAGTTCAGCTGGTCATCCCTTTCACCCTGGCATTTCATGAAACAGAAAAAGAGAAACTACAACGCCGTAAAACTAGAGCGGCCCCTCTTGGATCTTTCGACTCTCATGTCTATATAGATGCAATTGGAGTCCCACGGGGGGTGCCTGATAGATTCAAAGCCCGAAACCCAATAGCTGCAGGATTTGAATCCATATTTCCATGGGTAGCTATTAATAAAAATGTAGATTGGATAAATTACATCTATTATAACCAACAGCGATTTATTAATTACACTACGGATGCTATCAAAGGCATAGCTGAACAATTAGGGCCTACTAGCCAGATGGCGTGGGAAAACAGAATGGCCCTAGATATGATATTAGCCGAAAAAGGTGGAGTTTGTGTTATGATAGGAGCCCAATGCTGCACCTTCATCCCCAACAACACAGCTCCTAATGGAACAATTACGAAAGCTTTACAAGCTCTTACCTCCTTATCAAATGAATTAGCCACAAATTCTGGGATAGATGACCCTATCACAGGATGGTTAGGGAAATGGTTTGGTAAATGGAAAGGATTCTTTGCCTCTATTCTTAGCTCTCTTGCAGTCGCAATGGCTGTGCTTATTCTTGTTGGATGCTGCATTATTCCCTGCATTCGTGGACTAATCCAAAGACTTGTAGAAGCAGCTGTTAGCAAAACCTTCCCTAGTTCTTCCGAATCCTATACTGATAAGTTCTTCCACATGAAAGAACTACAAAGACGAGTCATGTTAGATAAGTTTAAAGAAGAAAACGTATAAATTCAAGAGGGGGAAATTATTGTTAAGAACAAATAGTTCCTCTTCAAAGGGTTTCGGTTCCTGGTTCTTTGTTCTATTCTAAAAGGTAATCTTACCCATTCATCTATTAGCCCTCCCTATCTCTGCTGTGCCTAAATATGCCCCAGATGTATGGTATTCGTCTTCCCCGTCAATCACCCACCCTCACCTCCTTTGATGACGTCAACAGTAGCCAATCGGAATTAGCCTAGATTGTGCGGTCCGACCCCAGCCCACGGGGGAGAACACAGGAACAGGGTCTGCGTCAGGGATAAAAACTCCTGCTCTCCTTTGTTTTGGCAGCCCTCCCTTGCCTCTGCTTCGCATGCAGAAGTGCCCTTTTATAGAAGTAAATTGCCTTGCTGAGAAAACTTTTGCCTGAGTGCTGGTTTCACTTTACGGCGCTTACAATTTGTATCTAACACTGCTTTTCTAAGCAGGGGACCTGGTTAATGTGTGATTCCCTCCTTTTGTTTGGCCCCAGTCCCCTTTGGAGTCTGGGGAGTTTTGCCCTTTAAAAATCAAACTGCCATGAAGACTGCTTTCCCCGAAATTTTGGTTCACAGCTTTCATTGGATTATCTATTGGGGCAAAGTAAACCAGAGAGCTTGTATTGCCATCTCAGGGCTAAAGTTCCAAGCTATTGCATCTGTGTTTATGTGTGTGCATACGTTTAGTTGTGTGTATGTGTGTATACACTTATTGTTATATGTCGTGTCAACCGAAATTGACTTGTAGGTAGGAGAGTGCTAATAAGTAAGTCTGAGCAATTTTCAAGTTCACGTGTCTTAAGAATAACTTTACTAAACCAGTTAGCTTAAAAATTATTGGTGGAATAAAAACAAATGCCTTGAGAATTGTCAGCATACATTTGGTCTGAATTCTATGTTTGCCTTTGCTAGATATTTTAAAATGTCAGTGTTAATTCAAGCTGGGAGCTGCTTGGAGCAAGCCTGCTTCCCATTCTATTCAAAGTCTCACTGAGTTAAGTGCATACCTGATTGCCCCATTTGGAAAGGGTAATGGGAAACTCAAAATAATGCAACCATTTGTCTCCCACCTACCTGTGACCTGAAAGCCCCCAAGTCCCCTCCCTGCCTTAAGTTGTTCCGCCTTTCCTGACCCAACCAGTGTTCATTTTACATATGTTGATTGATGTCTCCTGTCTCCCTTGTTAAAAGTAAAAAATAAGTACAGTGAATGGGATAAATACTTTAGGTAAACTTTTTGTGTAAATCAAAATCTTAAAGTGATTTTTGATGCTCATGTACTGAGTCATTTCCAGTTAAAAAAGGTGTGATATGGGGAAATATGTTTCTCAAATTGTGGAATTGCTCTTGTCCATAAATGCCCATATCTAATAGTTCAGGATTTCTTGCTTTTTAGGGTTTCAGTAAGATTTTAGGTTACTACGGATAAAAATTCTAGTTAACATGTAATTTCATATACAAAATGTGCCGGAAAGGGTTATGTTATTAGTGAAAAAAAGAATAATTTTGTCTATTTCAGTAATTATCTAAAAGTTAGTTCAAATTACAGATCTGAAAAGGTTATTTAGGAAACAATATAGCAAGGAACCATTAAATGGGGGAGAAAGATGTAGACAAAGTTTAAATAATAAAACATTCTTTAAAACCTGATAAAGAATTGGAGACATTTGGTTAATTAATGTTTTTATAGTTAAAGCTGTTAGTCTGGATTAAAGTAATGAGGACTAAACTCTGATTTTTGAAATAGCGTCCAAATGCCTACCTAAGGCGTCTGAGGAGCCATGCCCTACGAACCATAAAATTCTCATCAGATGGGTTTCATTTAACCGTATGTAGTGTGACTTATTTTCCAACGTGACTCTGGCATAACATTACGAGACAAAGAAGAAAATAAAAATATTTTTCCCCCAAAACATGTTTTTTGGTCACATTTTGAAATGGCCCTGAAAGCCGTCCTCTGTGGGGAAAAATTCACATCTGTAAAGAATCCTTATTAACACGGCTAGACCATTTCCTTCCAGGCCTATCCTCTCCAATTCCGAATAGCCACTTCTCTGGCTTTTAAACATTGTTTAACTTGCCTGCTTTCCAGCTAGGTAAAGGCCTGAGGACAGGTGGAGTTGGCTCTAGCTATGCTGGGAATAGTCAAACCTTGTCAGAACATAACTTAACAGGTTTTATGCTAAGATTCGCCATTATAACCTGCAATTAAGACTACTAGAAACAGTTTTATATGCAAAGAGTGTAAGAACAGTACAATGTGTGTTTTGTTTTTTTTTTGTAAAAGGTTATAGAAGGTTTTTAACTGCTTGAAAATTTCTGAGTCATTTTGGCAAAATAAATAATTTATAGTATTCTGGAATTCCAAAATCGAACTTCAGTTTCAAAATTGTCTTTCCTAAGGCCTGGCTTTTTGGATGGATCAGAGGGCCCCTGAAAACATCCAGAAAGGAGGTAAACAAGATTATTTGACATGTTTAGGTACATGGGATTGCCAAAATGATGTTCAATTTTTTTAGGTTATATTTTGTGAATAACAGTAATATATGTTCCAAAATTATATGGGATTTCTAACATTTTAATGTCTAAGTATATGCTATCAATTATAATTATGGTTGTTATGTTAAGTTACTATAAACCACAAAAATAACCAAATTTTCTTGTCAGTGCTATGTACCTAATTAGGAAAAACAACTGGTATCCAAAGGATGTAAGTCTAATGTTAACAAAGCATGGCCTCGTGGACAACCAGCACGGCCATCTTGTCCTTCCTGAGTCCTTGCAGCTTTTACTATTAAAAGTTCTGCATTTCATGACTCACTGTGGAAAAGATAAAATGATGCAAATCGAATACATTGATGTAGTGACTTATAAATTACTATAATAGTTTATAATCAATGCTTGATCGCATCTTCCTGGGAAAACAATTAAAGCTTCAGGTACATTTGGTCACCTGATAAGCCATTTAAACGTTTTATAAAGGGATTTCATTCCATTGTTATTTTCAGTTCTGGTTGTATAAAAGCTTTCCCATGCAAGAGGGTTGATGTTGTAACAGTAGATTATTATGCTACAGTGTATTTTCACCAGGTAAAAAGCTTTTTATAGTTTGGATCTTCTGAGAACATCAGAGAAAGACTGTCCTTGCCATCCACACTGCAACAAAACTTTGGGACCTTAAACTTTGGGTTCACAAACTCACAACTGAGAAGGGTCCCTCCACGCTCCGGGAGCTGTGCAGCCATTGGAACCCTTGGGGTAAGGCTAACAGGGAGGTTTCTCCCCAGAAGATGACGGCATCCTTGAAGCGAACAGCTCTTCCCAAGTTCACGGGTTAAGGCTTCCACTATCATGGAACTCTTATCTTTGAATATTTTCCCTTGCTTATGCCTCTATGAACAATAGACGTGGAAAAGGGGTCTGTTATGTGCACTTATGGGGTGTGAACTTTTATTCGCGAAGGAGTTTGCAGCCAGCCTTATACATGGATAACCCTATATTTTGATAGATAAAGGATAAAGGCCCAATGTAGGTTTTTAAAAAAACTTGAATGGTACCTCATTATGGTTGCCTCCTAATCAGTCAGAGACAAAACATTGGCTCATTTTTTTTAACCCACATCATGGGTTAAAGAGAACACTGCCAGGAGGCCTTCACTCTTCTAGAAGGGCATCATTTGTTTGGCCCTTTTCCCATGGTTTAAAGTGAAAGAAGCAATGATTGGAAATGTATTCCTCATGATAAGCAGATTCTACTGTAAAGGCTACAGTTACACAACAGACTTCAAATTCTCTTGTGAAAGTTATGATAGACTTGGCTGAACAAAGAAGTATCTGTGCAGCTGCTGGCACTTACGGCCTATGGAGAAATACATCGAATGAAGATTATAGAAATTCAGTGGTAGGGGATTAACAGAGAAACTGCTTAGTTAAGTCATTCTTTGATCTATTTGATTTTAGGAGGTTTGGCTTATGACGACCTTGGGTAAGGAGCATACTCCAATTTCTCCCTATTATCCTCCCAATAGTCATAATAATGGGTCTCCCTGGTGAGCTGGATTCTCTCAAAGGTTTGAATGCTTGCATGCAGCCATCTCTAGAATGTCACATGGTCTCTCTTCAACTGGAATAACAGGAGCTGAAAGAAGAGTGTGACCAGGAAGACACCGTATCCTGTGAATGACATGCTGAGACTGGAAACCCAAAATGATGGTAACTGAGAGTGGTGCTAAGACCCTAAGCTTGGTCACACTCTCACCTAAGTGAGAACTTAACCAAAAAGGGGGAATTTCTTTAAACAAAATTCTAGGAGGCCATTGTTTTGGACTAAGCTCATGCACTAGGCCCCAACAAACCAAACCAAAATGGAATCACTTGTGCTAAGACTTTAAGGAAACACATAGATTCTAGAACAGACCACGTTTTGCTCTTTCCTCCTGCAAATCTCGATAACAAACATTCCTGACAGCATAGGTAGCCACCCCCTGAAGTTCCCATTAAATCTTTTAACCAAATTCATTTCCTCTCACCTAGAGACATCAAGCTTCAGATGATCATGCAACAAAGGCTCCAGTCAGTTCCAGGTGAAGATACCACCCCAGCCATCAAGAAGCTACCCTGCTTCCACTAGACAGAGCAGGTGAGAGTCCCTTGATCCCCAATAGGTAGGGACTGTGCCCAAAGCCAGCATGAAGCAGTTACAGAAAAGAAAGAGACCATTGGTTCCTCTGCCTCCCATAAAGATTTATGGGGATCATATCTCCCAGGGAAGAGTTGAGGCAGGAAATAGGGTCTGGCGGCAGGGAACACAAGGTCGATTCATACTTCAGCTATAACAGGAAATAACCTCTCCACAGGGCGTAGGCCAAATAACTGTCTTTGTAACTTTACTTCATCCTCTTCATTTACATAAGGTGTACCCCAAGTAACCAATGGAATCCTCTAGAGGGTGTTTAAACCCCCCAAAATTCTGTAAGAGGGCCCTTAAGCCCCTATGCTCGGACCCACTCCCACACTGTGGAGTCTACTTTCATTTTCAATAAATCCCTTCATTCCTTTCTTGCTTTGTGGGTTTTGTGCAATTCATTGTTCAAGACACCAAGAACCTGGACACCCTCCACTGGTGACATGATCAGCCTCAACTTTCCTGCGAGGGTTCTGGCAGCTGGGGAGGGGTGGTCTAGGCTGAGCATGGTTTTCATCAGAGGCAGCAGGGAGTTGTGGGCCTAGAGCCCACTGCTGGACCCCAACACACCCCACCCAGTCTCTCACCAGCCCTTGTTGAGGTCCTGTAGCTTAAGTCATTGGCTTACGGCACCAAAATGTATTTTTAAATTCTTACTGAACCAAAACGAGTTCTGAATAAACAGGCAATTCTCAGGGTGGTTAGCAGACACCCACTTCACCCAGCAGCTGCTCAGTAATCACAAGCTACCTCCTATGAAGGGGGATCAGCTCTTGTTACTACCCCTACAGGAAGATCCCTCTAGAACCCCTGCAATGGGTCTGGTCCACGCAGGACTCCAGGCTGTCCTTGAAGCTGATAACACAGGAAGCTGGGAGACAGGTAGTGAGCCTCAGGTGCAGGTGTGGAGGGCGGGGCTCTTATCAGCTAGTGTGAGAAAGCCTCAGAGCCTCACGTCCCTTTGTGGTTCCCAGAGGGGCCTGTGCCCTCCCTCTGCATCCTCTGGGCTGCACCCCTCCCTCTGGGGCTTCTAAACACTGGGGTCTATTGGGGGGAAAAGGGGAGGGCCAGTGGGAGGGGGAGGTGGGGAGGGATAGCCTGGGGAGAAATGCCAAATGTGGGTGAAGGGGAGAAGAAAAGCAAAGCACACTGCCATGTGTGTACCTACGCAACTGTCTTGCATGCTCTGCTCATGTACCCCAAACCTATAATCCAATAAAAAATTTAAAAAATAAAAAAATTAAAAAAAAAAAAAAAAAAAAAAAAAAAAAAAAAGATGTCTGCTGCAATCAGACGACCTCTTGCAGGGCTGGGTCTACTCACCTACTGACACAGTAGAACGCAATCAGTCTGAAGATGTCCTCAAACACAAGCACGGAGCCTTCCAGGTACAATACTGGGGAGAGACAAGAAGGGCTCTGGGTGAGGTGACCTCAGGTAAGTGAGAAATGGACTTCCATCATGTCAATCCACTGAGATTTTAGGGGATTATCTATTTGCATTACTCTGTTTTCAGGCTGCTGATAAAGGCATACCCAAGACTAGGTAATTTATAAAGAAAAAGAGCTTTAATGGACTCACAGTTCCATGTGGCTGGGGAGGCCTACAATCATGGTGGAAGGCAAAAGGCACATAGCAGAGAGAATGAGAGCCAAGCGAAAGGAAAAACCCCTTATAAAACCATCAGATCTCGTGAGACTTATTCACTACCATGAGAATAGTATTCGGGAAACTGCACCCATGAGTCAACGATCTCCCACTGGGTCCCTCCCACAACACATGGGAATTATGGGAGCTATAATTCAAGATGAGATTTGGGTGGGGTCACAGCCAAACCACATCACTATTAGAATAGCTGGTGTTAATATACACTCATCATTTTTGGCAAAATAATGCAGAAGGTTCTAGACTACAAAGCGGAATTAAACATTTTTAATAGATCACAGTCATCCCAAGCAACAGTCTCAGAACTTGGCAATTCTGAGGCCCAGGAGAGGCCAGCAGAAGGGGTGTTTCCCAGTTTCGCCTCAGCCTCCAGGAGGAATATAGGTTTGGGACATAGCAGTGGAGCCACTGGCCTTTCACCCAGATCTCCAGGGCCTCTTAGAACCTAACCTGATTGGCTGCACAGCTCACCCAAGGGTAAGGGCTACCCTAATGTTTATAGCTCTGGTAAGGAAGAGGGATCAAAGCTTTTTTTCAAAATCCATGCCAGGTTGGACGAGGCTGCTTGGAGGGGCAGGGTGCCAGGATGTGACCATCAGTGCCTGAAGCCGGGGCCAGACTGACCAGTGGAGAACACAGCACACCATGCTGTGCTCTGCTTGGGAGAGCCAGGGCGAGGGACTCAGAAGGTTGTTGGAGGTCCCACTGTTCATTGGTGCCTGGCAGGCACCTGTTCCCACAACTCCTGACTCATCCTTGCACCCCACACCGAACGGTCATGCTCCCTGCAGGTGGGAGCCCCACCTGAGTGCTCTCTGGCTCCGGAGGGGACAAGAAACAAGGGACGCCCCACTGTGGTCCCAGTCTCCCAAGGTTCTAGTTTCCATGTGATAGAGAGGGAAGGCAGGACCAGGCTTCCGGGTCCGGCTCTGAGCCTGGAACACACAATGAGGCCTCAAGTGCACCCTTTGCCCCTCAGAGCCTCTGTCCTTCTACCTGTAAAGGGAAAGGAGACCTTTCCTAAAGCCACACACACATAGGGGACATCAGTTTGTGGTCCTGTTTTCAAAGCCCATGACAGTACCCCACAGCATTAGAGGTCTCTGAGATGCTTACAGGGATACATGAACCAACGTGTTGTGTACGATTAGCTTCATTTTTATATTTGCATTCTTTCTGCATATCAAACACTGTACTCAACAGTTCACATAATTTTAAAAAATTATATTTGTCTATTTATGGCAAGGAAATCATGGTTTCCCATTGGGATAGATACAAAATTTTAAGAGGATATAAAAAAAGAAAAATATTAACTAGATGATGGAACAGGAGGTATTTGGAGGATGCCTACAAATGACTTAAGTCTGAGAGACCCCGGCCAGTGGCATTGGAATTCACAGGGAGCTGTGGCCCCGGGCGCCCCAGTGCCACCTAGTGTCCGCATCTGGTGCATTGCCAACTCCTTCCACAAGGGGCAGCACAGGCATGGCCAAGGGAGGCTCAGGCCAAAAGACTGAGCAGCAGGGCGGGGAGACGGAGACTCCATCTGTAAATGGGAATGGAAGGAAGGGCCTTCCTCAGGAATGCCTGGAGTGGGTTAGTGGTAACGTACACAGAAAGTCCAGCCGACATACCGGGCATACTCAACAGCCAGCGGCCTTCCTTTCCATGGAAGCACACCCTCATCTTTGTAGAACACAGATAAACTTTGAAAACAAACTCAGTGACGCCCCCTTCCATGCCCCCTGGCACTTTACGCAAGCCCTGGACTCCTTTCCTGAGACAGCGTCCCCACAAGGCTTGTCATCTAGTCGGCTTGCTGGGTCAGCTGCTAGTGCAGGGACTAGGCTCTTTCGCTTTGGCAGCCAGGGCAGCACAGTGCTAGACGCAGAGGCCCACTGACTGTTTTACTGTTGAAACCCCAGATTTGTAAAATCATAAGCAAGCCTTAAGGGTCATGCTTGTTTCTTTGCAATAAGCTTCTCCCCTGATCCCAGACCCTGCCCCTTCTGCCACCTTTCCACTCCTGACCATGCAAACAGCATCCCCTCACACCGAGGCCAAACAGGGGGAGGCCCTGTATGCTTGGGCAGGCTTTGGTCCATCTTTAGTCTCCCTTAGCGCCCAGCACAGGGCATGGGAGATTGATGAATATTTACTAAAAGTCTGTCTGTCTGAGAAAGAGACCCCAGAGGGGTAAAGGCCACAGGGCACCGTGGCCAGGGTCTTAGACCTCTTACCATGTGGCTAATGGCCCTTCCCTCTAGGGTCCCAAAGGGACACCTCGGACTTGAGGAAGTTCCAACAGCCTCACACCTTTCTAGAACACAGGTGAGTGCAAATTGGCATAAGACAAAACAATCCTTTGTTCTGATGGGTGGTGGGCTTAGATTCTAGACTGCCCCCTGTACTGCACTGGCCATGTTCCAGGGGGCGTGCGGGTTCCCAGGCCCTGCCATCTTCATGTGAGCATGTTCCGAGGTTGTTGCTTCTCCTCTCTGTGCCTCAGTTTCTTCAGCTATACAACAGGTGACGTAGTTTGGATCTGTATCCCCGCCCAAATTTCCTGTGCAACTGTAATCCCCAGTGCTGGAGGTGGGGCCTGGTGGGAGGTGATTGGATCATGAGAGCGGATCCTTCTGTGTGGCACCTGGGCCCCCACCTTGCTCTTGCTCCCACCATGTGAGAAACCTTGTTCCCCCTTCACCTTCCAACGTGATTGTAAGTCTCCTGAGGCCTCCTTGGAAGCTGAGCAGATTCCAGCATCATGCTTCCTATACAGCCTGCAGAACTGTGGAACTGTGAGCCAATTAAACTTTTCTTTCTTTCTTTTTTTTTTTGAGATGGGGTCTTGCTCTGTTGCCCAGGCTGGAATGCAGTGGCCTCCCAGGTTCAAGCGATTCTCCTACCTCAGCCTCCCGATAGCTGAGACTACAGGCACATGCCACCGTGCCCAGCTAATTTTTGTATTTTTAGTAGAGACGGGGTTTCACCATGTTGACCAGGATAGTCTCGATCTCTTGACCCAGTGATCTGCCTACCCTTGCCTTCCAAAGTGCTGGGATTACAGATGTGAGCCACCGCGCCCAGCTAAACTTCTTTTCTTTTTTTGAGACGGAGTTTCGCTCTTGTTACCCAGGCTGGAGGGCAATGGCACGATCTTGGCTCACCGCAACCTCCGCCTCCTGGGTTCAGGCAATTCTCCTGCCTCAGCCTCCAGAGTAGCTGGAATTACAGGCACGCGCCACCATGCCCAGCTAATTTTGTTTGTGTTTTTAGTAGAGACGGGGTTTCATCATGTTGACCAGGATGGTCTCAATCTCTTGACCTCGTGATCCACCCGCCTCGGCCTCCCAAAGTGCTAGGATTACAGGCGTGAGCCACCGTGCCAGCCCCTAAACTTCTTTTCTTTTAATTGCCCAGTCTCAGGCATTTCTTTATAGCAATGTGAGAACAGACAAATACAACAGAGGTAGTAAAGTACCTACCTGTTGAGGATTGACTTGTGTTCCTGCAAAAGATATGTGGATGTGATACATGTGAATACATGTGAATCTCTAAAACATGTGAATGTGACCTTATTTGGAAATAGTGTATTTGTAGATGTAATGAAGATGATGTCATACTGCATTAAGGAGGGACCTAAATCCAGTGGCTGGTGTCCTCACAAGAAGGCCATGTGATGGGCCAGACATGATGCCTGTAATCCCAGCATTTTGGGAGGCGAGCGAGGTGGGTGGATCACCTAAGGTCAGTTGTTTGAGATCTGCCTGGCCAACATGGTGAAACCCTTTCTATACTAAAAATACAAAACTTAGCCAGGCATGGTAGTGGGAGCCTTGGGAGGCTGAGGTATAGGAATTGCTTGAACCTGAGAGGCAGAGGTGAGATTGCACCACCGCACTCCAGCCTGGAGGATAGAGTGAGACTCTGTCTCCAAAAAAAAAGAAGGCCATGTGAGTTGCTTCTTATGGCTGCCACTGCAAATTATACAAACTGGGAGCCTCAGAACAACATAATACCTTACCCAGTCTCAGGTATTTCTGAGGGGAAGGGGAATGCAACGGAGGCTGGAGATGGAGATTGCAGTGATGCAAGCAATGCCAGCCAAGGGATGCCAAAAACTGGCAGCAACCACCGGAATCCAGGAGGGAGGCATGGAACAGATGCTCCCAGAGTCTCCAGAAGGAACCAAGCCTGTCTACACCTTGATTTCCGACTTCTGGCCTCCAGAACTGTAAGAGAATGAGTTTACGCTGTTCTAAGCCTCCCAGTTTGTGTAATTTGCAGTGGCAGCCATAAGAAGCAACTACATTACTTCATAAACATCACTGTGAGCATGAAATAAGCTACGCCATGGGAGTGGCTTGGAACAGTGCATGCACATTCAGTCAATGGGGATATTACTAAACTGTCATTTTATGCATGCAAGGCAATGTGGTGTGAGGCAGGGGTGCAGGGAAAGGGTTCTGCAGACCCACTGGGTCGCATTTCCTATCGCACTTCAACAGAAACCCTGTCTGTTGGCTGGGCGTTTTGCCCCCTCTCCCCTCTTCGTACAGTCCTCACTCCCACCTCCTTGCCTTTGTTCATGCTGTTTGTCTTGCACAGAGAATCCCTGCACCTCCAGAGCCCAGCTCGAGATACACCTTCTACCTCAAAGCCTTTGTTTCCCAGGGATTCCACCCTCTCCCATTGGAAAGTCACAAACAGGGTGCGCTGCCCAAAATG